ACCTCAACCACGAACCCTGTAGACACAGGACCACAAGCGGTGGAAGGAGGAGAAGCGATCACATCAGAAACAGCGGTTGCGACAACCGCGCCGGCAAACACGGAAGTTGCGCGAGCGATCTGGCCCCGCGTTCAGCAACCTACTGGCTGGAACACCACCGAGGGCTGGGACGCAGTGGACGTACGATGGGTTACGGAGAACACCGCGGTGGTTGAAACCGGATGGGGAACCATCGTCAAAGGACCTGCAACAGAGGAAGCAGAAGTAGTAGAAGAACTAGAAGTCACTGAGGAGGCACCAGAAGCAGAGGAAGAAGAGTCACTGACGGAGTACGGCCCTCACCTTATCCCAATCACAACGGACGGCAGGGATTATATCCGCATTGAGACAAGGGGAGCGGCGATCGGCGACACCGACTTCGAAGAAGAAGAAGTCACGCAACCGGAAGATCGTTGTCCACGAATCTCAAAGCCCCCTGAAGGGCCACTGGAGCTTTCCGTGACGATCGATACCACTACCATCGACGACACCAGCGGGACATACCACGTCGCGACACTCCAAGAAGCGGCAGTTCGAATCACCGTACCTGATGAACCTGCGGAACAAGTTGGGAACGAAACCGCAGAAACAATATTGGCACGAGAAAAAGAGCTCTACGCACGCACAAGTGGTTATCGCGCCGACGGAGACATCTGGCACCAACACTTCGGGCTCCTATTGATTGAAATGCTCAACAACTGCATCAACACAAACGTCTTTGCGGCAGACGCACTGTTGCTGCCAGATGAAAAGCTACTCAAACCAAGAACCGACTTACCCAACTGCACCGTCTGCCCAGTAGCTGCGCTACGTCGCACGCCTTTTGCCGAGAAAATCCCTGGAGCCGAACTCTACAAACCGCTCGAGAAAGTCTACAGCAATTTCCTGGTGCTCACGACGAAAGGAGTTGGAGGGGAGCAGTACACATTTACCTTCATCGACGCCGGCACCCGCTTCGTGTGGGCCGTAAATGCCAGCAACCGCTATCTTGCCTACCAGTGCTTCGAAGTCTAGCTGAGCATGGCGGAGACTTAAAGCGACGGTCAGAAACTGAAGGCATTTCAAATGGATGGAGCCCTGGAATACCAGACGGAGGAGTTCAAAAACCTCTGCAAGCAGAAAGGAATCAAGAGGATGATTTCACTCCACTACGCTCACGAGCAGAAGGGATTGGCTGAGCGAACCAACAGGAGCCTCGTGACAAAAAATGCGAGCCCTCATGAAGCAGTCAGCCGTGCCAACCAAATATTGGCCCTTCGCGATGGCGCATGCAGTTCGGCTGCACAACATGCTCTCCTCGAAAGCACTGCCCACCAACACCTCACATTTCTGTCAAACATTATATATGTTGTGCTTGTTTAGGCTACAGTGGGTTAGCCTATAGGGGGTACACAATTCTAGGGTTAGGTACTTGTACTGATTTCACTGTTAGTTCAATCATTCCTTTTTGTTCATTTCAACATGGTATCAGAGCTTGTTGGCTGCCTCATGTACCTGATGACCTGCACACGACCTGACCTTGCATACCCTCTTAGCATTCTCGCACGCTATGTTGCTCCTGGGAGACACCGACCAGAGCACATGGCTGCAGCGAAGAGGGTGTTGCACTACTTGTGCGGTACGTCGGGCATGGGGCTAGTGCTTGGAGGGCGGAGTCCAGTGGTCCTCACTGGTCACGCAGACGCTTCTTGGGCTGACGACCATGATACGCAGCGGTCGTCATAGGGTTACACCTTCAGCCTTGGTTCCGGCTCTGTTTCGTGGCGGGCTACTCGCTCGTCTTCTGTTCTCGGCTCCAGTTGTGAGGCTGAGATCTACGCAGGGGCCATGGCTGCTCAGGAGCTTCGCTGGCTCACCTACGTGCTGACCGACCTTGGAGAGCCGCCTCGTTCTCCTCCAGTCCTGTACGTAGACACAAGGCCATGCTGGCCTTGTTTCGAGAGCAGAGACTGGAGCACAGAACAAAGCACATTGCTCTCCGCTACTTCCTTGCTCGTGAGCTACAGCAGCGTGGTCAGTTGCGGCTTGCGTACGTGGCCTCTGACGCCAACACTGCTGATATCTTCACCAAGGCGCTTGCGCCTTGTGATCATCAGCGCTTCTACACCCAGCTGGGTCTTGTACCTGTCTTGCCTCACTTGCTCACCTCTTGACCTTGCTTGTACTATTACATATACATATACCTGCTCTTGCTTGTCTAGCCTTATATATATATGTACTCATGCATGTGAACTGGCCTTGTGGCCTTGAACTTGTGCTCGGAATGTGTGGTGACTTTGTGATCCACCCTGAGCTTGCTTTGCTTTGCTTTACTTGACTGGTCTTGTGACCCCTAGTTCTCCCCCACTTCGCCTATGGGGGTGTGTCAAACATTATATATGTTGTGCTTGTTTAGGCTACAGTGGGTTAGCCTATAGGGGGTACACAATTCTAGGGTTAGGTACTTGTACTGATTTCACTGTTAGTTCAATCATTCGTGTTTGTTCATTTCAACAATTTCAAGGAGTGGACCGGAAAACACCCTGACACACGCATGCTGCGGGTCTTCAGATGCATGGTACAGTACCGCCCCCACACTGCCCGGACCGGAAATTTTGAAGACCGCGCCCGGTGGGGCATTCACATCGGAATCGAATCCGAATATCACGCCTGGACAATCCTGGACTTCACCAACCACCAGCTCACGTGTTCACGTGACTGCATCTTCTACGAAAGACTGACGCTGCCACTGTACTTACAGCACCGCGCCGCACAGAACACACCGGACAACATTTTTCAGGGACAGCACAGCTACACAAATGACGAGGATGATATTGACGTGGCAGGGGAACAACTAGACGAGGCAACTGGGGACGGGGCACCCTTCGTACCTATTACAGAGGAGCTCGGCACAGCCACATTCTTTCCAACGGAAACTGATCAACATGAAGTAGTACAGGCACAACACGATTACGCAAGTGCAGAGATGCACTCACCCATGGACGAAGACACAGCTCGCAACTCTTCTTGTGACACCATTCGTGACATCCCTGGCGACGACGAGGACACGGTTGAAGTTACCAACGTAGCTGAATCCAACCTCACCGGCCTTCGCATCGTCGGACTCGCTGTCGCCGTTCGGGGTAACCAGCAGCTGACTGAGCCCACCACTGTTCGTCAGGCCCTCAGCGGGCCCGATGCTGAGAAATGGAGAGCAGCCATGGCCGCCAAAGTCGCTACACTCCAACGACGCAGCATTTGGAAGCTGGTACCACGGCGAGACGCAAAGGGGAGGAAAACCCTCACTGGAAAATGGGTCTTCAGGATCAAGACTTTTGCAAATGGGACTGTTGACAAGCACAAAGCACGTTGGGTCGTCCACGGATTCGAGCAAACTCAATCAGACATTCGCACCCGTTGGCCGCCATTTCTCGGTGTGGATTCTCCTCTGCAACACTGGCGTGAAACAGCGCCCCCTCCGCAAGATCGACATCTCCAACGCCTTCCTCTACGCAATCGTCGATGCCATCATCTACGTCGAGCAGCAACACGCCTTCGAGGAAGACGGCGACGCTATCTGCCTCCTCCAGAAGTCCCTGTACGACATCTAGCAGGCGCCATGCTTGTGGCAGCAGTACCTCCACGCCGTACTCATCGAGCTCGGCTTCCAAAAGCTTCCCCACGACCAGGGGATGTACCGCCTCGAGTCCCGCGGCAGCTTCATCTTGCTCGTTGCCTACGTGGATGACCTTATCTACACCGGGGACAACACGGAGCTGCTTGATCGTTTCGAACATGACATCAAGGAGAAGCTGGAAGTGACCATCGATCACGAGGTCACTCAATTCCTCGGCCTCAACGTCACCCAGACCGATGACACGATCCACCTCTCCGCCGAGAAATACGCCGAAACCATCGCTTAGAAGTTTGGCATCGCTCCCATCGGCATCACCACCCCGTTCCGCACTCCTCTGCCTAATCACGAGCGCGATACTGCCACGCTCTCTCCGGCCGACCATCACCTCTACCAGCAGCAGCTCGGGTGTCTACTATTTGCCGCCGTCACGTGCCGCCAGGACTTATCCTACATCGCCAGCCGGCTTGCCCAGTACCTCCGTCGACCTAAAGGGGAGAACCTGGCAGATCTGCGACGCGCCTTACAGTACTTCATCTCTACGCCCGATGTCGGCCTCACCTACACAACGAACCTAACTGTGAGAGCCGCCTCGTTCTCCTCCAGTGCTGTACGTAGACAACAAGGCCATGCTGGCCTTGTGTCGAGAGCAGAGACTGGAGCACAGAACGAAGCACATTGCTCTCCGCTACTTCCTTGCTCGTGAGCTGCAGCAGCGTGGTCAGCTGCGTCTTGCGTACGTGGCCTCTGAGGCCAACACTGCTGATATCTTCACCAAGGCGCTTGCGCCTTGTGATCATCAGCGCTTCTGTACTCAGCTGGGTCTTGTGCCTGCCTTGCCTCACTTGCTCACCTCTTGACCTTGCTTGTACTGTTACATATATATATACACCTGCTCTTGCTTGTCTAGCCTTTTATATATATATGTACTCCTGCATGTGAACTGGCCTTGTGGCCTTGACCTTGTGCTCGGAATGTGTGGTGACTTTGTGATCCACCCTGAGCTTGCTTTGCTTTGCTTTGCTTGACTGGTCTTGTGACCCCTTGTACTTCCCCACTTTGCCTATGGGGGTGTGTCAGAACATTATAGCTTATGCTTTTGTGTAGGCTGTAGTGGGGTAGCCTATATGGGGTACAACCCAATTAGGGTTAGTACTTGTACCCAACTCTTTCATACTGCATTCATTCTCGTTGATTCTCACATCACCCTCATCACTAGCAGACACAGTATACATGGCAGCAAGAATAGCATCATAATCAAAATCAAAGATAGCAACCCCCGACCGCTGTAGCTCTCCCCAGCGAGGGATCTCAGTGGCGTCAGGGAACTGGAGACACCATGCATCCGTCAGGCGGCTGAAGCAGCGCTGGGTGGGGTGCGGGCCCCCGCACTGCTCACCCGTACGGTTGCGGTACGCAGGACGTAGGTACAGGGACCAGCACCCCCACCCCGCTGACGCGAAGCGTACCACTCACGAAGCTGCTGGGGGGGCGGGGTCTCACGAGTGCGCTGCTGCTGCTGGCGGTGACCACCACCGGAGCCGCCCCTCTGCGCAGAGCCGCCCTGACCAGTCCCACCGCTGCCGCCGCCACCTCCACCGCCGCCGCTACCTCCGCCTCCTCCGCTCCCACCACCACCGCCGCCGCCTCCTCCGCCTCTACTGTTGCCACCGACGCCCCCACCCCCGCCACCACTCCCACCACCACCCCCACCCCCTCCACCGCCTCCACCGCCACCTCCACCGCCCCCGCGAGCTCCTCCAGCACCCTTGCCCCCCTTGCCCTTGCCGGTGCGGCGTCTCCCACAAGGGGCAGACGCAGCTCCGACCGACTCGAGGCCAACGAGGTCGGCAGCAGCAGCAGAGGCAACAGAGGACAGGAGGGGGGAGGGGGAGCACCCCTCAAAGAAGGGAGTACGAGGGTCACCACGAGAGGCTCCTACAGCGACTATGCTCTTCTCAGCTGCCATGAGGCGCTCCTCGAGGAGGTCAACGGTGAGTGTGGTGGGGCAAACAGAGAGGAAGTGGTCCCTGACCGAGCGAAGGGAGTCAGGGTGCCGGGTGACTATGTAGTAGAGGGTGATGTACATGGGGGGGGGGTTCTTGGCGCAGAACTCAGCAGGGAGCGCAGTGCGGTAGCGAGTGTCACTAGTGCGAAGGTGCGTAACTAGGTCAGCGACTGTGGAAAAGGCGGCGAGGTCAGGGAACAGGTACGGCAGCGTGAGGCGACTAAGAGCAGAAGTGGCAGGGGAAGAGTAGCGTGCAACTACAGCGTCGTACAGGGTCTTAGCGCTCTTATACTGACCAAAGTGCGCACGCTCAGAGGACGGCAAGTGACTACGAACAGCAAGACGGGCAGCAGCATCACGTGTGGCCCACTGTGAGCAAACAGTGCTGTCAGCATCGGCAGGAGGGGCAGGAGAGGCGCCAGACGTGAGATCGAACAGGGAGAGACCATCTGTCCTATTGCACTGTAGGAAAAGCTGTAGGTCATCGACCCAGACCTCAAAGTCGACAGCCCGACCCTCAGCATCAAAAGTGAGAACATTTGGAGCAGGCATGGCAGCAGTGGCAGCAGCAGGCTAGCAGTAGGAGCTGGGCGGTGGAAGAGGCGCTGCTCAGAAGTGCTCTTACCAGGGCGGGTAGGTAGAGGCCCGCAGGTGGTGAGGCAGGGCCGAGGCGCGCCTGCAGGGACAGGGCCGAGGCGCGTCCGCAACAGTGGCGGCGGCGGCGGCGACATCGGCTGTGGCGGCTGCGGCGGCTGCTGTCTCGGCTGCAGCGGCGGCGGCTGCGGCTTCGGGAGCGGCAGCGGCGGCGGCAACGGCAGCGGCGGTCGGCAGCAGAGGCGGCTGCAGTCGGCAGCGGCGGTAGCTGCAGCGGTAGAGGTGGCCGCTGCTGCTGCTGGGACCGGGGAGGGGTCGCGTAGTGCGGCGACGGGGCCGCGAAGGGGCCACGAGGGGCCGAGAAGAGCGGGAACGGGGCCTCAACGGGCGGCGACGGGGCCGCGAAGGGCGGCGACGGGGCCGCAGCGGGTGGCGACGGGGCTGCGAAGGGCAGCGACGGGGCTGCGAAGGGCGGCGAGGTAGAGATGGAGCAGATTTGTTGCTTCGGTGTCAACTTACCTCATGAACCAGCTTCAATGGAGGAAGCACTTGCTGGAGATGATCGAGAGGCTTGGTTGGATTCAAGGGAGGATGAGTTTCAGAGCCTCATGGAGAATGGAACATGGACCCTCACTGATCTGCCCCCGGGAAGAAAGGCATTGGATTGCACGTGGATATTACGTGTGAAGACCGATGCGGATGGGGAAGTTGGAGAGGCGCAAAACAAGACTTGTGATCAAGGGTTTCCAGCAGAGGGAGGGGGTTGACTTTAAGGAGGTGTTTTCTCCTGATGCCAAGGCTCCTACGCTCCGGGTGTTGCTAGCAGCAGCTGCCGTTTGTGGTTGGAAGGTGGAGCAAATGGATGTGAAGACGGCTTTCCTCTATGGCGTGGTAGATGAGGAGATCTACATGAAGCAGCCAGAGGGGTACGACGATGGGAGCGGACGTGTTTGCAGGCTCAACAAGGCCATCTATGGCCTCAAACAAGCTCCAAGGTGCTGGTATGCAAGGCTGATGGAGGCGTTGGAGGCTCTTGGCTTCAAAGTCAGCGGGTGCGACGAGAGTCTCTTCATGACCGAGGGGGAGGAGGAGAAGGTGTTTCTCCTTGTCTATGTCGATGACATTCTCCTCTTCTCTCCATCTCTAGAGAGGATCAAGGATGTGTAAGGGAAGGTGAAGGAGACCTTTCAATGCAAGGCCCTTGGACCGGTGGGTTATTACCTTGGTCTTCACGTGGAGCGGGACGAGGTGAAGGGATGGTTGAGGCTTCACCAACACAAGTACCTTGCAGCCATGGGGGAGAGGTATGGGCTGGAGGAAGGGAGGAGTGTAAAGACTCCACTACCCTCAGGATTTCAGCTACACCTTGATGAAGAGGAGGGAGCCCGAGTTGCAGCGTCGGTTCCAGTCAATGGTGGGGAGCTTGATGTATGCTTCGGTCAACACTCGCCCCGATATTTCATTCGCGGTTTCGCAGCTGGCTCGTATGGTTTCTAGGCCCCTTCAAGAGCACCTTGATGCAGCAGAGAGGCTGGTGAGGTACTGCATGGCAACCTCAAGGGTGGGGCTGCAATATTCAGTGCATGGGCAGCTGAAGCAAAAGGGAGTGGAGGAGGTGAGCACAAAGACCGGTGCACCTGCAAGGCGTGGACACTTGTACCCCTCGTGCTTCACCGATGCTACCTGGGCAAGTGACATCAGTGATGCAACATCCCATGGTGGCTATGTATGCTGTGTTGGAGGGAGTCCAGTGAGCTGGAAGTCTAAGAAGCAAGGGGAGATAGCTCACTCATCAACGGAGAGCGAGTACATGGCGTTGTTTCATGGGGTGAAGGAGGTGGTTTGGATGAGGAGGTTGCTTGAGGAGTTGGGGCAGGAGCAAGAGGGTCCTACACCTGTGTTTTGTGACAGCCAAGGAGCAATTGCAATGGCTCGCAATGCTGTGCTCCATGGGCTGAACAAGCACATGCATATCAAATGGCATTGGGTGAGGAAGGAGGTGAAGAAGGGCACGGTCTCCTTACACTACATCAACACTACCAAGCAACCTGCAGATTTTTTGACAAAGCGGCTTGCAGAGCATCAGCATTGGACCTGCGCCACCTTGTGTGGCATGTCCTTCAACTAAGGGAGGCAGCTTCAGGGAGCAGCTAAGGGATGAATGAGAGCACGATGAGGGGGAGTTTGTTGTGCCAACACATTACAGTGGTACGGTCATCGCACTCCCATTCGGCCTAAACGCCTGCTCAGCTTCTGGAATTTTGTGGGGAGGATTTTCAACATGTGTTCTTCAAACCCTCAAATTTTCAGAGTTTTTTAAGCAGTTACCAAGGCATGACAACATTTTATGTTTCAAGACTTATGGCATCCCGGAAGTGTGTGTTACTCCTTTTTGATAACACCCGAGTTCACCATTTCGGCTGCTGACTCGTCTACCAAGCTCTGATTGGTCTGAAATTCGGTCTGGCAGTCTTTTGCCTTGCTCTTCAGGTGGTCACCAAGTGTCAGAACGATCCAACATCTGAGCATTGCGTGACAGCTGCTGAAATTCACTGTTCCGTAGTCATGGTGCACTGTTGGCAGCATTTCCCTTGCCACCCTTTCATTGTTGTCATGCCAATGGTGCAGGGACAGAGAATGAGACAAGAATTACAGGTGGTCAAGTGGGACTCTACAACCCTCCTTTTGAGAAGTGTGGTCTTCCTGGAACCAGCTTGCAAGAGGGTGCAAGTGGGAAGACAAGCTGACTCATGGTTGGCTTAACTCACAATTGGTTGCCTTGAGTACAGCTCTGAACATCCATGTGTGGTTGGCTTTGCTGACCTAGCTAGGACGTTTCCCATCCTTCTCTAGCCTTTCTCCCCTAGGACTCAACCTTCTCTGAGTTCCCAGGATGATCCCAACCCCTTAAGAGTCCCCTAGGCAATGTTGTACCTCACCTCTTCCTTGCATCAATGAGAATACACGTTTTTCAGCCGAGCTTACGTTTTCGTTCACAGCGTAGCGCATACACCTTTGGTGAAAGCAAGCAATACACCGTTGGAAAGCAGACATCAAAGGCTAACTGCTGTCCAAGTTTCAGCCTCATGTGTTATCGGAGCTGATCGTGACGGTGTTTTGAACAGAGGCGGTTTGAAGACGTCAGATTCTGCTTAGGCGGTTTCATGGGCATCCGTGACCTCTAAGTGGACTCTTGACTATAACAAGCATGGCGCGGGATGCGGGCTTCATCGTTCACAGAGTGTCAGCGGCCTACTGCCCAGTAGAAGAATAGATGGCAGACCTAACAATGATGGACTGGAGCTCAGGCGCAGTCTACATCTGTGATGTAACTATCACGGATCCGATTAGTACCCGGGACAAGACGGCTGCCAAGGGGAGAGGATGGGCAGCACGGGAGCAGGCGGATAAGAAGATTAAACACTATGCCAGCCGGCCTGACATGGTGGGATTTTTCCCCCTTGCCGTTGAGACCTACGGGTGCCCGTGTGCGGAGGTGCTCGTGTTCCTGAAACTGCTGGCGGACTCTGCTACTAGGCGTCACTTCAACGCCGAACCTCACTCATTTCATGCAGCTAGATTCCTCCACCTTTTCAGGCAGAGGTGGTCCGTGGCGCTGAAGAGGGCCCAGTTAGTTGGGTACCTCATGAAGTCTTGTCAAGCAGCTATGGCAGAGGACCCACGTGTTGGGGGAACACAACACGAGCTCCACCTTGGTGATTGCCTCACCATGATTGATCCCCTAGTGGAGGTTTAAAGGGGCAGGCCGTAGGAGTTTGGAAAGTTTGTTGGGTTGTTTGTGTCCTGCTAGTTTAGTCTCTGCATGTTGTGAATTGCTAAACCTTGCATGTTTGTACCCTTTGGCTTTATCAATGAACGGACCATTAGAAGGAGAAAGGAGGTGGAGGGAGCATCCCCCGAGAATGTTGATGGAATTAGAGCATAACACGACGAGCATGCCCATGTAGACCTTGTACAGTACGTCCAGGGCCCACACAGCCACCTCCCCCCATTCCACATCCCCCCTTCCTCAAGTGCATGCAGCCTTAGTAAAGCACATTGACACCACACTCAACGCAGCCGCAATCAGAGCAGTCTGCCCAACTTTCAGCCCGTTCACCCCCACGAGGATGTTGGTGGAGTTGGAGCAAAATACGACGAGCATGCCCATGTAGACCTTGCACAGCACACCCAGGTCCCCTGTCCCCAAGTCACAGGTCCCCAGGTCCCAGGTCCCATGTCCCACACGCACGCTCTTTCTGCAAAAATCTTACACTTACTTACCGAGGCAGCAATCACAGCAGTCTGCCCTACTTCCAGCCCATTCACTCCCGCAGGATGTTAATTGAATTAGAGCAGAACACGATGAGCATGCCCATGTAGACCTTGTACTGCACGCCCAGGTCCCATACGGCGACCTCCTTGCTTGCCAGCCCTGCCAGCAGCGGCCGCAACGGCTTTTGGATGGCGATGGTGGTGTGGCCTGAATAGATCATCAGGAGAGGCAGCGTTGCGATTGAGGGGAGAATGAGCTTCCTGCAGAATGGGCCAGGGGGATGAGGGACGAGAAGAGAAGGGAAGCAACCACGTGGCTTGGGGATGACGATGGTGGTGTGGGCCGAATAGGCCATTAGGAGAGGCACTGCTGCGATTGAGGGCAGAATGCGCTTGCTGCGGGTGGGGAGGGGGAAAGGGGAGGGACAAGCATGAGGCTTGGGTGGGTGGGAGCGGCCGCAGCAGCTTGGGAATGACGACCGTGGTGTGGCCTGAATAGGCCATAAGCAGCAGCGGGGTTGCGATTGAGGGGAGGATGAGCTTGTTGTGGGGGGGAGACAAGGGGGTCAAAGGGAGGGAAAACCACATGGCCTGGGGATGACGATGGTGGTGTGGCCCGAGTAGGCCATGAGGAGAGCGAGCGCGGCGATTGAGGGGAGAATGAGCTTGCTGTGGGGGAGAATGTGCGGGAAGGAAGAAGGGGAAGCGTGAGAATGAGCTTCCAGTGCAGTAAGGAGAGCGGGCGGGAAGGGACAAAGATGTTTCGAATCATCGGGAGGCTTGGGGTGGGGAAAGGGGGGAGCATTTACTTGCTAGAACGTTCACAGTCGCTTCTTTTGGGTAGGGCCCAGAAAATGGGGAGCGTTGGGGTGGGTGGGGAGAAAAAGAGACAACTCAAAACAAACTTGGGATTTGCCATGTACACTCGGTCATTAGGTAAGAGGCATGGGATGTGCACGTCGCTTGAAGTCAACGCAGAATAGCTTGTGAAAGGACCCCATCCCCATCTCAACCCCCAGTACCACCAACCCTAGCACCACCTCCCCCAACACCACCACCCCCAGCACCACCCCCGAATTCCCTCTAGCACCACCCCCAAATTCCCCCCCCTAGCACTCATACGCGCCAAGGGATGCCAAGCACATCGTCAATGAATCCCAGGAAGGCCATGTAGCAGATGCAGGCGAGCGCTGCATTGTACTCGAGTAACCACTGGCAGATGAAGGGAGGGGAGAGGACTGGGGGTAAGGGGAGCAGGGGGAGAGTAGAAGTAGGTAAGACCACAAAGCAGATGCAGGCCAGAGCTCTTTGTACTCTACCCAACGGCCAATAAAAGGTGAAGAATCATCTGGAGGGGCACTCACAAGCCAGTCAGGCGTGAAGTAAAAGTGCTGGAAGAGAATGGTCACCACCAGGTACACGAGCGCCACCACCAGTCCCTGCGCCTCGGGTCTGGGGAGTGTGGGGGATGGGGGCATGGAGGCATGGGTTATCGGTGGCAAATCACAATGCTACACCTACCCACCCAGTCTCCCACCAGGTACACGAGCGCCACCACCAATCCCTGCGTCTCGGGTCTAGGGAGTATGGGGGATGGGGGCATGGAGGGATGGGGTCATGGGGACATGGGGGCATGGAGGCATGGGGTCATGGGGACATGGGTGGGGCCACTGGAGGCATGGGGACATGGGGGGGGGCAAGTCACAATACTACCTACCTACACGAGGACCACCACCAGTCCCTATGTCTCGGGTCTAGGAAGTGTGGGGGAAACATGGCATGGCAGGCATGGGGGCATGCGGCCATGGGGGGCTTGAGGGTACATGCACGCGTGTGATAAAGGATAGTGAGCATGCTACCTACCGACCCATTCAGTATCCCACCAGGTACCGAAGGACCGGTCCATGCATATCAGCTTTTGAGTCGACTCAAAAGCATGGGGGGCTTGAGGGTGCACGCATGCGTGATAATAGAAAGTCAGAATGCCACCGAACCATTCAGTCTCCCACCAGGTACAGAAGGGCCGGTCCATATGCCTCATGGCTGTATAGGAAGTGTGGGGGAAGCACACTGCAACGCAGTGGAGAAGCGAAGTCCTTGGCTGACAAAGGGAGGTCACGATGTTACCCACCTAGTCTACCACGGCGTACACGATGGTCACCATGAGACCCACGTTACCCAATTACCAGGTTACCGGGTCATTTCCAATGAAATAACCCCTGATAGAATGGACGACGCACTATTCCATATGGGAGTCAGCTGATAATTGTGCTCGTTACCATCACATATGAAAACAAATTTCCTTGACGCAACTACACCAGACACCAACCTCGGTGGCGGCCTTTCGTTATACTCACATCTTGATTTCTCCAGCCGGGGAACCTTGTTTATTTATATCGTATCCGAACATGTTTCTCTGCAACATATAAGGCACCGCCATTGGAATCAGCTTCTTCGTTATAACGAATCCCGCGACGCTCACAACGGCGTTGATTGTAATGGACTGTCGCTCTGATGGATCAGGCTCCATTACGAGAAACGCCACTATAAGGGGAGTCAGGACGCACACCGCAAAGATCCTCACGTGGACGCGCCGCGACCATCTATTCAATGGCGGAGCTATGATGATGTCACGGGAAGCATCGTCTGGTTTGCCGTCAGCGACGCTTTTTGAATCTGCCGTCGCGACGCTTTTCGGATCATTAGCCGTTGCGATGCTTGATTTTGTTCTCCGTGCTTGTGCTTGACTGCGAGCCATCACGCGGCTCCAACAACAAGGCTGTTCTGCTCAAAGTACAGCCTGAATCTAACGTCAAAGGCTCGCAGATTAGCAGCTAAGCAGAGAAAAACGTGTAAGCTTGGGAAGCCGATAATTCTGACGGCGATTCTAGACGGAGAGATGGCGGAAAGCGCTCCACAAGCAGGCAGCTCGAGATTAAGCAACAACAAGGGATGCAACAGTCGACGTGATTGAGCTGTCTATAGACATTTGAAGTAGAACAAGGTTGGCTGAGAAGCGGTAGCCATGGCGTTGAAGCTTGCACTGCTGGTTGAGCTCTCTTCAAAAAATGCTATTAATAGGATCATTTGTCAAGAAAACATTGATTCTAGATTCTTGTACAATGCATCCGTTATTAGCCTCTCCCTATTGTTCTACTATACTCCTTGTATGCACTGAATGAGTGAGTCCGTCGTTCGAGAAAAAAAAAAAGAGTATGAAGCACCATATCAAAAGGAATTAATGAATTAAGAGATCACATCTCAATTGGAAAAAACATCGTACACGTTGATTCGCCTCAGTAGCTCAAGAGCACGTCCACATTAAGGAATTGCAAATCTACATATCATATAAATACTATATGAAGCCATATTCAACAGCTGCATGATTGTCAGAACTATGCATTTATATGCTCTAGGCTGTAGTGGGGCACTTCTTATGGGGTACAGCACAATTAGGTTTTGCACAAACAAACCCTGTACTGCTGTCATTCTAGTCATCCTTGATTCCTACTCTTTGACATGGTTTCAGAGCAGGTTCCCTAGTGGGAACGTTTTTTTTAGGGCCCACCACGATAAATTTTTTTTTTCTGCCCTGCCCGAAGCGCGCCTCGCGCCCGCCTCACCTGCGCCGTCGCGTGCCCTGCCCTACCGGCCCATCGCGGCCTCGACCTAGCCGCCTATCGAGGCCCTGCCCTTTCGCCGCCCATCGCGGCCCTGCCCTGACGCCGCCCGTTGCGGCCCTGCCCTGACGCCACCCATCACGGCCTGACCCTGTCGCCCATCGCCACCAGACCCAGCCGCCCGTCGCGGCCCTGCCTTGCCGCCACCCGTCGCGGCCCTGCCCTCAGCCGCTCATCGCGGCCCTGCTCTATCGCCGCCCCGTCGCGGCCCTGCCCTACAGCCGCCCTGTCGCAGCCCTGCCCTGCTGCCGCCCCGTCGCGGCCCTCCTCTACCGCCGCCTCGTCGCGGCCCTGCCCTGCTGCCGCCCCGTCCGGGCCCTGCTCAAACGCCTCGTCGCGGCCCTTCCCTAACCGCCAATCGCGGCCCTGCACTGCATCCGCCCCTGGTAAGCGCCCGCCTTGCCAAGCGCGCCGCTGCGCCCACTTGCGTGCCGCGCCGCGCCGCCCAGCCGAGCCGCGCCGCCCTTCCTAGCCGCGCCGCCCTGCCGAGCCGCGCCACTCTGCCGAGCCGCGCCGCCCTACCCTACTGCTACTACTGCAACTACTACCACCATGGCTAGCACTACTGTTCTTACCTTTGATGCTGAGGGTCGTGCGGTCGATTTCAAAGTTTGGGTAGATGACCTGCAGCTCTATCTTTAGTGCGACTCTAGGGATGGAGTCTCGCTTTTCGATCACACGTCCGGCGCCTCTGTTGCACCTGGTGCCGATGCTGACAGTACGGTTTGCTCGCAGTGGACTACTCGTGACACTGTTGCTCGCCTTGCTGTTCGTAGTCACCTGTCGTCTGCTGAGCGCGCGCACTTTGGCCAGTACAAGACTGCTAAGTCTTTGTATGATGATGTGGTCGCACGCTACTCCTCCCCTGCCATTGCTGCTCTCAGTCGCCTCATGATGCCGTACTTGTTCCCTGACCTGGCCGCCTTTGCCACAGGCGCTGACCTCATCACTCACCTCCGCACTAGTCACACCCGCTACCGCGCTGCGCTTCCCTCCGAGTTTCGCGCCAAGAACCCCCCCCCCCCCCCCCCCCCCCCATGTATATCACCCTCTTCTACCTCGTCACCCGTCTCCCTGACTCTCTTTGCTCAGTCAGGGACCACTTTCTCTCCCTTTGCCCCACAGAGCTCACTGTCGACCTGCTCGAGGAGCGCCTCACTGCAGCTAAGACTAGCATAGTCGCTGTAGGAGATTCTCGTGGCGACCCTCGCGCCCCTTTCTTTGAGGGGTGTTCCCCCGTTCCCCCTTTGCCCTCTGTTGCTTCTGCTGCTGCTGTCGACCTCGTTGGCACCGAGGCGGTCGAGGCTGCGTCTGCTCCTAGTGGGAGGCGCCGCAACGGCAAGGGCAAGGGGGGCAAGGGTGGTGGAGGGGACGGCGGGGGCGGCGGTGGTGGCGGTGGAGGAGGCGGAGGGGGTGGGGGTGGAGGTGGGGGTGGTGGCGGGAGTGGGGGCGTCGGTGGCGGCGGTGGAGGTGGGGGCGGCACGGTTGCGGCAGTGGGGGTGGCGGCGGCGGTGGTGCTTGTCGGGGTGGAGCCACGCAGCGTGGAGGCTTTGGCGGTAGCCAGCGACAGCAGCAGCTGCGTTTCCGTGAGGCCCCGTCACCCCAGCAGCTTCGTGAGTGGTACGCTGGGCGTGGGAGGTCTGGGGGTGCTGGTCCCTGTGCTTACGTTCTTCGCACCAGCGAGCACCGTGGGGAGACGTGCGGGTTGCCACATGCAAAGCAGCACTGTTTCGGTCGCCTGTCTGACGCCTGGCGTGCACAGTTTCCTGACACCACTGAGCTTCCTCGTTGGGCTAATCTGCTTAAGTCTGGTGTTGCTATCTTTGATCTTGATTACGATGCTATCCTTGCTGCCATGTATGCTGTGACTATTAGTGCTGAGGGTGACTGCTACCTGTGTGTGCCGCCCAACCCAGGTTTAGAGGCTGCTGCTCTAGGTGCTAGTGAGTCTGCTGCTCCAGCTGCCTAGTGAGTCTGCTCTCTCAGGTACTGCGCCTGCTGAGGCCTTGCACACCTTCACGCTTGACTCAAGTGCTTCCCGCTTCTTCTTTCGCGACAACACCACACTCACGCCGCACAGTCGATCGGTTGCTGTCTCCCTGGCGGACCCCTCTGGGGGCCCAGTCCTTGCGCATTCTCTACGGTTCTACCGTGTCCGGCGGTCCCATCTGGCTCACTGCCGGGTCTTCACCTCCCCTCGTTCTCTACGAACTTGGTGAGTGGAGCTGACCTCCAGGACGTGTGGGTCGGCCAGTTCACTCCTGGAGGTCAGCGGGTGAGCCAGTGTACGTATACTCGGACGGGCCGCCACCTGGCCACGTTCACCCGTCGGCCCGGGTCGAGCCTATACACACTGACTACTACGTCTCCTCTGGTTGCTGAGTCTGGTCAGATAGCCGCATCTGGTTAGGTGTTTGCTGCCGCGTCCAGATCTGGTTCGGAGTCTGCCCCCTGCTCGTGTTGTCTCCTGTGACACCAGACTCTCCTTTGGCACCACCGCCTTGGTCACCCCTCCCCGCCTCGTCTCCGAGGTATGGCCTCCCGTGTCCTTGTCAATGGTCTCCCCCGGTCTCTCCCTCCCCTCCCCCCGGGGCCTGCCCCTACCTGCGTTCCTTGCGTCGAGGGACGGCAGCGCGCCGCTCCTCACTCCTCCGAGTTCCCTCCATCGGAGGCTCCCCTGCAGACTCTCCCCATGGACGTGTGGGGCCTAGCCCGCGTCTGTGGACAGGGTCACGAGCGTTACTTTGTGCTGGTCGTTGATGACTACTCGCGTTACACCACAGTCTTCCCCTTGCGCCGCAAGGGTGAGGTCACTGAGGTGCTGATCGACTGGATCCGCGCTGCCCGTCGCCAGCTCAGCGAGAGTTTCGGCTCGGACCTTCCTGTTCTGCGTCTGCACTCTGACAGAGGTGGAGAGTTTTCCTCCGACCTTCTGCGGGCCTTCTGTCGTGCGGAGGGCATCCGCCAGACGTTCACGCTTTCGGCCTCCCCACAGCAAAATGGGATTGCTGAGCGCCGCATTGGCATGGTCATGGATGTCGCTCATACGTCCATGATCCATGCGGCTGCTCCCCATTTTCTGTGGCCGTTAGTGGTTCAGCATGCTGCGCATCAGCTCAACCTCCAGCCCCATGGCTCCATGCCGCAGACCCTACCTGCTCTGCGGTGGACAGG